ATTGATTATTGCAACTGGTGATATTGCAGTTGAAGATACGACTCAGTTTGGTAATGAATTGATTATTGCAACGAGGTGTTGGTCGACCGATAACGAGTCGAATCAAAAGTGCCGGAGAAAAACGGCGAAAGAAAAGAAGATCAAGGATGAATCCATGTGATTCAGATGACTCAAATGGGACACAGTCAAACAAAAGGAAGAAGACGGGAAAAGCAATGGAGATACAGTTAGGAGATGAAATGTAAACTGATGTATGTATATTTCATCTGATAACTGTAACGACTTTTTGTGAACTATTGAATCGTAACTATGTTGCGACCTTTTGGACTTGAAAACAAAATCTTAGAAATTTATTTATAAAAAAGTAAGTTTTATAATCAACAACGTGTGTTCTTTATTTATAAAAAAGCAACATGTGAAAAAAGCAACGTGTGTTCTTTATTTGTAAAAAAGCAACATGTGAAAAAAAGTAAAAATGATCAACAACAAGTTTCGTTTTGACCACAATCAGAAAAGCAAGTAAAAAAATAATTTAGAAAAACCAAAATCTGACATGTCAAAAAAGTAAGTTTTTGTCTTATTATAAACCAAAACTAATATTTTGCAACTTAAATGCGGATACATTACGATTTTTGAAATTCGATGATAATGTCCAAAAAAAGGTTAAATAAAACGAGTTTTAATTTACAATTCATATGTATGAACTTAATATTGTCTTCTTAAGTGGAAAAATTGAGTTTACAATCAAATACAAATACTTTTATGTAAAATCATCAACTTTGGATCAAACCACATCATAATCTTTCTTACACATATAGGAGTATTTTCTAATTTACATGACAAAAAATTTAAAAATCTTTATTTTCTTAATTTGTACCTATAAAACATTTTAAAACACTTATTTGGTATGTTTTCGTCATTTATCGACCAAAAATTTAGTAAAATTTACAAGTATATATATTAATACGACTACTGTAAGTCGTATTTAAGTTACAGTTACATATATTTTCGCAATAGAAATTTTTAGCATGGATCCACGTGTCAGATGATTACTTTGACTTTTCTTCCATCAATAACGACTTACTTTTTCATATTGCGACTTACTTTTTTGTTGCCACTTACTTTTTAAGATTGCGACTTACATTTTCATATTGCGATTTAATTTTTAATATCGCGACTTATTTTTTGAAAAAAAGCAACTACTCTATTACGACTTACTTTTTAATAAATCGCAACAGACGTTTTTCATAAATTACGATTTCCAAATTAACCAAATCAACCTGTCTTCAAGTAATACAAAATACCATAACATTATACATAATACAAAATACCAAAATAACATAATGTTAGACATAATACAAAATACCAAAATAACATAATGTTTTACAAAACAACATAACATAAAACAACATAATGTCTTCAAATAGAAAATACCATAATATGATAAAACCAAGTCCAAGTCATGTGATAAAACCAAGTTCAAGTCATATTTCCTCAAACCAAACTCATGATTTTTGTCCACGACCTCCACCTCTTCTAATAGGACAGCCGTTAATGACGAACCATAACTCATCATCTTTCTTCGTCTTCACTGCCCGATTAATGAGTGCAACCATTACACTCATTTTCAGCGACTGCTTCTTCTTCATGTGAAATATGTGCCTAAATGGCGATTCTTCCGTGAAATACCTCATTTCCTCCTCAGTCAAATACTTCTCCAAATATTCCACTGCTTCTATATGAAAACATTTTGATGACAACTTCACCGCAATCTTGTTCATGTCATCGAATTCATAATAGAATTCTGCTTTCGGTATATCATACATCTGCAATAACACAGATTCATTAAATATATAACAGATTTCGTAACTTATTCACTACCATTATGTATTAGCTACTTAGTATCAGACACTTCCCAAATTTTAAGTTACAATGTAATTACAACAAAAATTCATAACTCGAAAGAAAACTGAACTCACTACTATTACTTATTTACTACTTCGTATCAGCCAATTCGCAAAATCTAATTAAATTACAATCTGAATGATTTTTTATTTACTACTTCGTATCAAAGACTATTCAAATTTTATGTTTTAATCTTCTAAATATTTGAATGAGAGTTGATTTCGCGCTTTGTATTTCATTCAGATAAAATTGTTTTTAAAATGAAAACTTAAACCTAATTTTTATACAAATTTAACTTAAATTCAAACTCAAATCGAAATATCTTACATGTGTTTCAGGAGAAGCTTTCGTTGATTTTTCAGGAGAAGCATCTGCGCCAGTAGAACAATCTCCCTCACTCGACGACCGAGACTCCATTTCCTTCGTTCGTCTTCGGTCCAGATACCTTGCGTTCCTTCGTTCTTGTCTTCCTTCCTTCGGTTATCGGTTTCGCTTTCAGTTGAACCTCCCGAACTTACCGATTTCAGACGGTTGAAAAGATGACACCCTTCGTCAGAAAAAGCAACATCTTCTTCTTCGGTTTCAATCGAGTGAGAAGAAGCGACTGGGTTGCTTGATTCCTGACTGGGTTGCTCGATTTCTGACGGGATTGCAAGATTTCCGGCGAGTCGCTCGATTTCCGGTTGAGTCGCCTTCTGCGTCTCTCTCTCTCTTTTCTGTGACGGTAAAAAGCTAGGGTTTTTTTTTCCAGATTTCCCCCCTTTTTACCATCTTTATCGACAGATTTCCCCCCTCTCTTTTCTGTAAGTATTACACGTGCACTAGAAGTCATTTGTTAATTGTTTATATTTTTCAGGTGTATCCCTGAAATTACTGCGACAGATAGTGTATTTGAGAAAAAAGGCCGCGAGCAAGTGTGTCATTTGAGTGATTTTTCCAAAAAAAAAAATGGAGGTTTTCCCCTTTTTCCGCGTATAATTTCTTCTGTTTCTGAAACTGATTTCCGACTCTATTTTGCTGGGCGAATCCCTAATGTCCAACAGGTGAATTGGATTCTTCCGATTGTTTTTTTTCTGCATGGGGGATTCTGTTTTTTGAGTTGATAGTTCCGTAGGATTCTATTCGATTTCTAATAGTCTGGAATTTCTCTGATCGACGAAAGTTTGATCTGACAACATGAGAAGTGTGGGATTTGATTGAAGTTTGGTTTCATCGTTTCCTTTTTTTTTTTTTGGTTCTAGGATTCTCTGCAAGTTCTTCATCCAAGGCGCTTGCTTGAAAGGGGAGCATGGCGAATATTCCCATTACTCGAATAATGTAACGCAATCCCCTCTTGAGTTTCTTCTTCCTTTCTCTTCATCCCTTGATTTAGAATTGGTTGAAGCAGGTTCATGAAAGACTGATTATTATTTTTTGTTGCATTATAGATTTGCCCATTCTATTAAAACAGGGATCTGTTTCCATGGAAGTAGATTCGGATTTGAACATGTTGTTAGCTCTTCTCAGTGGCTAATATCCTCGTCACAGTCGGCACTTGGCGGTCACTAAGCACTGACTGTGAATGTGAACCTGTAGCCCTCTCCTCTCAGCTCGGTAGTTTGCAAAATGATGTTGATTATGAATGGGACAATGATCGAGTGTGATCATCCATTCTGTATCTGGAATGGACGTGAATAACACGTTCAGAGCGTGCCCTACATGTCCTAAACGATCATTATTTCAATCCCGAAGAGAAAAAGGGAATAATCGGGCCGTTATAAGGAAAAAATCGGGTATACTGCATCATTCTTTTTTGCTTATGCATGATGGAAGCATGAAATGTTTTGCTAAATTCGTCTCTGGTAGGTTATTCAGCAACGGTTATAGTGTTACATGGTACCGCTGCAATTTCATATGCCCCAAACTTGCAGGTCAATAGATTGCAAGATCTTTAACTTTGGAAATGGCAACGGTCCATTTCTCTACAAGGTATAAATTGAAAAATTGTCTTTTGTTCTTTGTCATTTTTCTATCAGCGAGCAAACTTTTATCTACTCTATCAGCGAGCATATCCCGACCGATGGCTGGAAGAAGTTGTTCTTGGGTCCAAAAACGGGGAGATTGTGATCGCAGATAGTATATGGTCTTTTTTCAATCGCAGATCATTCGTTACATGTATATTTTTGTGGATCATGTTTGTGATGATATCTTTCTTCAGATCATCAGACTTTCTAGGTCATCTGTGTATTTAATCTTTAGCACTATTTAAAATATTTCTTTGTGAGTTTGAGCTCGAACTCATTTGAGATAATCAGACAACATGAGTGTTAAAGGCATGGCTAATTCCATCTTTTTGTGATCTTTTCAATGAGCAGACGAGATTCAATGAGAGAGAGAAAGATTCAAGAGAGGTCAAGACGGAAGACTCGGTATTTTTTAGAAAGAAACTCAAAAATTAAGTCCGAGGATTGAATTCCAACCAAGGGACAAACCCATCTGCTCAATTTCTTGCATCATTTCAGACCCGAAGAAAGCGAAGAACATCTGAAAGAGTAAAAAGAAGCATATAAGTTAACAGAAATGACTCGTCGAATCTGATTCTAAATAACAGAGAAGGGTCTGAAAGCTGAAACGTGATCAAGAACCAGATTCGGACGTACACAATTTCAGGTCTGCTTCACGCACACCCAACATCGAAGCACTATTAGTCCACCTTTCCACAGTAGCTGTCTCGGCATCAAAGACATGGAAGCAACTAAGAAGTACTCACCCAATTGTTCCATGGCATTGGCTGGTATGGTTTCGACAAGGTGTTCCTCGATATGTTTTTACTATATGACAGGCTTTCCTCAATAGATTACCAACCAGAAACAAGCTAGTTCGGCAGGGAGAAACTACGGATACTATCTGCATACTACACCAAGAAGGTGTGGAATCACACTCCCACCTTTTATTCGAATGTCTTTGGAAGCACTTTGCAGGTTGCTGCTGGACAAACCCGCCGACTACACTCCAAGACTGCCTCCAATGGTTCTCCGACCCGAACCATGTGAGGAATGAACACAGAATGATAATAGGGAAGCTCTTTCTACAAGTAGCTATCTCCCTCATATAGGGGAACGAAATGCACGGATATTTGCTTTGCTCGGACACAAGCGACAAAGGAAGAATTATGCCGGAGGCTTGACATCACTAATCCGGAACATCCTGCTGTCTCACCGGAAGCCAAACACAGAGGAATCCAATCCTGGTCTGGTGGAATCAAAACGACACCAAACTTAGGTTTCTTCTTTTATTCTTCCAAAGGTTTTTTCTGTTCCACAGAGAGGCTCAAGTCCCAATCATGGAATCCATTTATTTTGGAAACTCCGGTTCTTATAACTGGCTGATGTAAAGACGAATCGTTACCATTTATTTATAGAAATTTACCTTACACAAAAAACGGTACATTCGAGTTCAGTTGTGGTTCGAGCTCAAACTTACAAAGAAATATCATAAATGGTGCTAAAGATTAAACACGCAGATGACCTGAAGAAAGATTTGCTACCGATAATATATTACATGTATCTGGACCATGCATAAGCAAAAATAAATGATCGTATATTGCAAAGATATTTCTTTGTACACGCAAGTTTTGCATTACAAGTGCCGACGCAGAATCTCTGTCCTGACAGCGCTGAAGAGACGAAGCTCTCCGTCTCCTTTTCCCGTCGAACCAGAAAACCCAGAATCCGCCAGCTACAATCGCCTGACTTAACCGAGCTGAACAAGAATTTGCAGAATGGATCTTACTAGTTGGAAACGGGACGACTCATAATAGAGATATGAATCCTAATGAACTAGCTGAAGCAGATCGAATTATAATGGACAAAGCCTTAATGCTACAAAGTACAGATGACCCTCTGTCAGTACTTGCAACAATTGCGTATCCACGGTTTCTAAACTCATATTTAGATCATCAGTACCTTAAAGAACGGGCAATCTTAACACCCAGAGACGAGACTGTTGATGAAATAAATGCCTTTCTGCTCTCCAAAATTCCAGGACAAACTACAGAATATCTGAGCTCAGACAGCATTGGAATTGATAGCGCTCCAACAACTGATTGGCAAGCATTGTACCCCGTTGAATATCTAAATACTCTAGAGTTTCCTGGATAAGCCCATGAGGGTCTACACCAGGAAGAAAAGGAGGCCCAGAGAGAAAGAAGCGGCCCAAGGCGCAGGGAGGGGGGACCACAGCAGCAGAGGGGAAGATTCCACTGGAAGTGAGGCACCAGCGCAAGGAATGATTACCTAGGCCAAAACCGTTATTGACACACCCTGTACGTGCTGGGGGATTTGTTGCAGAAGGACACCTCAGCAGTTTGTTAGCAGGAGGAGCGGCTATATTATTTCCTTGTTTTTCTTTTGGAAAGTTATCTTTGAACTTGAATCTTATTCTGGGAATAGAGAGGTATGCCTCTTGGTTTGATTGTATTTCTTCTTTGATGAAATACAGTTGGTTATATTTTATCTAAACCTACTATTACATCCTATCAATTCTGGTATCAGAGCACCGATCCTCTAATGCCTCCAAAGGAAAAACACAAGATGGAACAAGTGGAAGAGCTGGTCAACAACCGCGTTAGCAGGGTTGAGCAGACAATGGGCGAGATGAGGAACTGATTTGAAGCATCGTTGGGGGAGATGAAAGGCAGTGTTTCTCAGATTCAACACGATATCAGCAAGCTCCAAGCAATGGGGCAGATGGTGGAGAAACTTTGCTCGATGATGGAACGACCAACAACGGTGGAGCGACCAGTCTTTCCTCCGGTGCAGTCGGGCGATCAGTCATCTTGCAGCCAACTTCCGAGGGGTGACAAAGGCAAGCTGCCGGCAGTGTTTCTGGACCCGCCGACATCGGAGCCTTCCTTATTTCCTGGGGGTTTCCTTCCAGAACCGCTGGTGGATGACAACCGAGTTTCGCTGTTGCAAGGTAATGACCTCACCTTGAAAAAGTTAGAGATGCCCGTTTTCGAGGGGGTGAATGCTGCAGGGTGGATTGTAAGAGCTGAGCGATACTTCAAGTTTGGGGCCATCCGCGATCAGGATAGACTTTCCCTTGCCATGTTGAGTATCGATGGTGAGGCGTTGAACTGGTTTGACTGGGAGAACGAGCAAGCGCCATTCACGGACTGGGTCGACTTCAAATCTCGGCTCCTGGAACGATTTGCGGACATTTATATGGGAAAGGTTGGTACACGACTTCTGTCACTGCAACAAACGGGGTCTGTGTTGGAGTACTTGAGGGATTTCGAGGAGCTGCTTCCTCAGATTCCCAAAACGCCGGAATCAATGCTAGAGGCGGCGTTTATCTTGGGGCTCCGCTCTGAGGTACGGGTGTTGTTGGAAGCTCTGGACCCCCAGGGTCTCAAACAGACGATGAAGACGGCTTTGCGCCTTGATGTGAGCCCGATGTGCGTACCGGCGGCCAAATCAGGGGACACGCGTCAGGGGAGGGTATCGCCAGCTTCGTCCGCATCTCCTTTTCGTATCGTATCCCTCCCAGCTCCTGGGCCTGGGCGCTTCGGCCCAAATCGCAGACAAGACCAAAACCCTAACGTCACGTCAGGCCCATCTAGTTCTGGGCCCAGTAACCATTTGGTTGCTACGCGTCCCCCTTTCAGGCGATTCACGGATGCCGACCTCGATGACAAGCGCCGGAAGGGCATCTGTTTTCGCTGTGATGAGAAGTGGGCGGTGGGGCATCGCTGCAAGAACCGGGAACTACAAGTGATTTTGGTCAAAGAGGAGGGTGAATTCGAGCTGATTCCAGAGGAGGACTTTGGGCCAGACGCAGCGAAGCTCATGGATTCGGCGGAGTTCGCAGCGCTGTCGTTTCAGTCATCTATTGGCGTCACTTCTCCGACAACTCTCCGGATAGCCGGCCTGATCAAGGACTGTCCGGTGGTGGTTCTGATCGACACAGGGGCCACCCATAATTTCATTGCTCTTCCCATACTCGACAGGCTACGTCTGCGGCCATCTCTGACGGCGGACTATGGCATTTCGTTGGGTACAGGAGACACGGTCCAATCCAGAGGGATATGTAAAGCTGTGGCTTTGAAGATTCAACATCTGGAAATTGTGGCAGATTTTCTCCCGCTGGATTTGGGAACAACAGATGTCATTCTTGGGGTTCAGTGGCTGCGTACGCTAGGGAAATTTCAGATGGATTTCCAACACCTGGAAATGCGATTCACGATTGGCAAAACGGCGATGACGTTACGTGGCGATCCTCATCTGCAACACTCATTGGTTACTTTGCGCTCTTTAATAAAATCAGTGCCCATGTGTGAGGAGGGATATATCATTCAAGTCTGTCCAGTTGCTAGGGAGGAGTGTGTCGAGGAGGATGCTCCTGAAATTGTGGAACAGCTACTTCCACAGTTTGCTCATATCTTTGCCGAACCGGCAGGCCTCCCACCGTCGAGGATGAACGATCACGGGATCTCATTGGCACCAGGAGCGGGGCCTATCAGTGTAAGGCCTTATCGGTACCCACATGCCCATAAGGAAGCCATAGAGAAGTTGGTCAAAGAGATGATGACCGCGGGAATCATCAAGCCGAGCAATAGTCCTTTCTCCAGCCCGGTTCTATTGGTCAAAAAGAAGGATGGCAGTTGGCGGTTCTGTGTCGACTACCGCGCCTTAAACAAGGCCACCGTCCCCGACAAATTTCCTATTCCGGTCATCGACCAATTAATCGATGAGTTGTTCGGTGCCACAATTTTTTCCAAGCTCGACCTCCGCTCCGGCTATCATCAAATCAGAATGAAGCCAGCTGATGTGCCTAAAACGGCCTTTCGTACTCACGACGGGCACTATGAGTTTCTGGTGATGCCGTTTGGGTTGACAAACGCTCCAGCAACGTTTCAAGCAACCATGAATCAGATTTTTCAGCCTCTACTCCGCAGATTCGTGTTGGTTTTTTTCGATGACATTCTGGTGTATAGCAAGTCCTTGGCTGATCACCTGCTCCATCTGCGCGAAGTGTTAGGAATTCTACATACTCACAAGTTGTTTGCCAATAAAAAGAAATGTCAATTTGGTAGAAGACAAGTGGAGTATTTGGGCCACATCATAAATCACCAAGGTGTTATGACAGATCCGGCTAAGACTTCTGCCATGCGAGATTGGCCCTATCCAACCACAATCCGGGAATTACGAGCGTTTCTAGGTCTGACGGGATATTACAGAAGATTTGTCCGAGGGTATAGAATATTGGCTCGACCGCTTACCAACCTACTGCGGAAGGACAGTTTTGAGTGGTCTCACGACGCATCTCAGGCATTTGACAACCTCAAAGCAGCAATGATGGATACCCTCGTGCTTCAGTTGCCAGACTTCAAGGATCTTTTTATTGTGGAGGCTGATGCGTCGGGCCATGGGGTGGGGGCGGTATTAATGCAGAAAGGTAGACCTATCGCGTACTACAGCCATTGCCTCTCCCCCAGAGACCAGCTAAAACCCATCTACGAGCGCGAGCTCATGGCTGTGGTCTTCGCGATTCAACGCTGGCGTCACTATCTCCTTGGCCGACATTTTGTTGTGCACACGGACCAGAAAGCGCTGAAGTTTCTGCTTGACCAACGCGAAGTGAACCTGGAATATCAGAAGTGGCTTTCGAAACTCCTCGGTTATGATTTTGAAATCATTTACAAACCTGGGATTCAGAACAAGGCGGCCGATGGACTGTCCCGCATTCCACGATCACCGGGTATGTCGACTTTATCAGCCATGTTGGCTTTGTCTGTTCCGTCAGTGTTGCAATTGGATCAGCTACAGAGCGAGGTTGAGGCTGACCCAGCCCTCAAGTCTATCTTCCAGCAACTCATCGAGCAGCAAGGGGCTCCAATGGGGTACCACATCAGACAAGGTACGCTTCTATTCAAGGATCGTTTTGTAATTCCAGCAACCTCGTCCTTTATTCCAGTGATCCTCCATGAGTTTCACGATGGCCCCATGGGCGGACATGCGGGAATGTTGAAGACTCTTAAGCGGATTCAGGGTACATTTTATTGGAAGGGAATGAAGGGGGTCATTCAGAAATATGTGGCTGAATGTCGAGTTTGTCAACAGTCCAAGTATTCCACCTTGGCGCCGGCGGGATTGTTACAGCCGTTACCAATTCCAGAGCGTATTTGGGATGACATATCGATGGATTTTATTGAGGGTTTACCCAAATCTGAGGGATTTGATGTTATCATGGTTGTTGTAGATCGCCTCAGCAAGTACGCTCACCTGATTTGCTTAAAACACCCGTTCACCGCCACCCGAGTCGCACAGGTCTTCGTTAAGGAGATTGTTCGGTTGCACGGCTATCCACGTTCAATTGTTTCAGACCGCGACAAGATATTTATCAGCCATTTCTGGAAGGAGTTGTTCCGCTTAGTGGGGACAAAGTTGAAATTCAGCACGGCCTACCACCCTCAAACGGATGGGCAGACCGAAGTGGTAAACCGCTGTCTAGAAACCTACCTGCGCTGTTATGCCTGTGCTCATCCTCGAACTTGGGCAAGGTTTGTGACTTGGGCGGAATTTTGGTACAACACATCTTATCATACTTCCCTCAAGACATCTCCATTCAAGGCAGTCTATGGCAGAGATCCACCAAATCTGATCCGTTTTGAGCTAGGATCGATGGCCAATTTCGAGCTGGAAAGAGATTTGCTGGAACGTGACGCAATGCTAGTGGAGTTGCG